GGAAGAGAGTGAGGAGGCACTGGAGGAGCAGCAGGAAGAGAGAGTGAGAAGAGGAAGAGGCAGAGAGAGGAGGGGGGAGAAAGAGACAGGGAGGAGAGTCATGTGGGGAGGGGGGAGAGGAAGGAGAGAAGAGGAGACGGGGGAGGGGGGAACTAGACGGGGCTGGAGAGGGAGAGAGGGAAGAGGCAGAAGGAGATAGAGAAGAGGGAGGGAGGGGAGAGAGAGAGGAGGTTTCTGCCGCCATCTTTGTCTCCCCTGCCTCTGTTTCCCATGTTGTGTTCCGCCTACACTTGGAGGCTGAGGGGCCTGGGAGCTCCGTGAAGCACACAGAAAAGCCGCTGAAAGGACAGACCGAGGGGGAAGTCATTTTTCATCTTGTTCTTAAGTCCTGATACAATGATGAGAAAATAGAAGCTATGCTTTTGGAGACATGCACACTTTAGGCATGCATTTCAGAAACAGACTTCCAGGTATCTGAGGTATCTCACAGTGGCAATCAAGCTTGCCCAGAGTACAGGGAATTGACAAGGCCTAAGACATCATGCATTGGGCAACAACTGTAGAGGTCATGAAACTTGTAATTACAAAAGTTATAACCGCTCAGAGGGAGAGCAGGTGGGGATTCGATCTTCCAGTAAACTGGGCCCTATCTACAGGGAAGCCAAGGATACCCCGAAGCTACCCACTGGGAATGCCTAGGAGAGAAGGGGAGGTGCACCCTTCACTAGCTCTAAGGAATGTCGTTTGGGAAGGTGCAGGAGAATTAGAATCCTTGTCACGCCCTTCTCTAGGGGCTGTGATAATGTGGGCGGACATTAATGGGTCTCTGTGTCACAGGTTCTCCAAGACATCCACAGGTGGTCGATAAGGAAGTCGCGGCAGTCATGGCAGTCAAGTGCAACATCTCCAAGGGAAGGATTTAAGCCAGGACTCTGGCGGGCTACGTGGCCACACTCACCTAGAGTGTAGGCCGACTCCCTGTCTGTGGGGGGGTGAAGATTTCTTAAATAAATCTTTTCTTCTCTCACCTCTGTGTTGCAATTCTTTGCAATCTACTCGGATCTCTGGGTTCCCAGCATGCACCTCCCGTTTGCCAGCCCCAGCAGTGCTGCATGCCTCCCTGCACCGCTACACCCTCATCCTGTCAGTCCATACCCTAACAGCCACCACCTCACTTCCAACCTCCTAGAGCAATTCAGATCAAGGAGGGAGTGTGTGGCAGGGCACGGTGGCTACACCTATAATCCAAGTACTTTGGAAGGCTGAGGCAGGAGGATCCCTTGAGCCCGGGGGGCAACATAGTGAGACCTTGTCTCTAAAACAATTGTTTTTTAAGTTAGCTGGGCATGATGGTCTGTGCCTGTAGTCCTAGCCACTCTGGAGACTGAGGTGGGAGGATCATTTGAGCCCAGGAGGTCCAAACTGTGGACTGTGACCCTGATGAAGAAAAAGGAGAAGGAGAAGGAGAGCATTATGGTGCAGAGGGTGGTCGAGTCTGGTCTCATTGTAAGGAAAGGGAACAGCCCTTTCAGGACTTTGGCCCTTTAGTCAAAGGTCACTGGGGTCTTGAGGGGACAGGGAAGGAGCAGAGAGTTAGATCCTCATAGATTGCATGTACTTTGGAGATGCCCCTCAGAGGACCCTAGGCTGCCTGGCTGGTGCACTGTGTGACATCTTCACACAAGGAAGACATCTTCATTTCTCGGCTGAGAACCTCAGGTATGGTCCAGGGAGAGCCTCACCCCAAGGCGAGGAGGACACTTAAGATGACGTCTTCCAAACGGGTCTCTGCCTGTAGCTCCCAGGAGAGGCCTGGTCTCTCCAAAGATGCTGGAGGTCATTTTTGTGAGCCTTCAGGGTCAGGACTCCTCACCCTCTTACCTTCTTCCGGGGACCACGGGTCCTGTCCCATCAGAGTCCATGGTCGCCGCTCCTCACAGGCCGCAGTGCAGGTTGTGTGTCTGAGGCAGTCCCTCTGAAAACTGGTTCTCTCCTCTAGACCTGAGGTCCCCAAGGCCAGGGTGGGGGAAGGCCTGGGCAGCAGGGGAGAGTTGAGGTCAAAGGCTGATGACCAGCTCCTGGGGTTGAGCAAAGTGTGGGGCCGGGGTTGTCTAATCGGCAGAGAAGGGTTGAAGTTCAGTCAGGGAAAGTACGATTCCCTCTCTCGCCCACCCGCCCTCCTCCTCACCTTTGTAGAAAAGGAAAGAACATGTTCACAAAGTCAAGCTTGGCTAGAAAACACCCGACTGAGAACTTTGTCTGTAGGAATTTATTTTCTGGCTAACCAAATCAGCAGGTAGAAGCGGGTGCCTATAACTAGCCACGTTAATGTTTAGAAACTTCTAGCTGTCTACCTGTTTAGTACAAGACCCTCCCTCATCATTTGCTTTATGTAGGAAGAGGGTAGAGAGGAAGGTGAGGGAGAGCGAGGGAAGGAGGGAGGGAGACAGAGAAAGGGAGGGAGGGAGAGAGAGAGGGAGGAAGACAGGAAGGGAGACCGAGGGAGGGAGTGAGGGAGAGAGAGAGGGAGGGAGAGGAAGGGGGAGAGGGAGAGAAAACACAACATCTGATCAGGGTGGAAGAGGAACAATTTGCAACCTTCAGACTTCTGAGAGTTAAGATGACCCTGGCTCAGATCAGGACACACAAATTGGCACGCCTGTGGCCCACAGCTGGAGCCATTACCCATCAGCCCGGAAGTGGCACAAGAGGACAGAAGAGCAGGGCCTAAGCATGCTGAGAATGTTCCGAAGGGGAATGAGTGGGTGGGAGACCAGGAGACTGAAGGAGCAGGCAAAACACACCCACTCGACTGCTGAGATAAAGACAAACTGAATTCTGTGTGTGTGTTATTTTTACTAGTTGTTAGGGAGTTTAAGTAAATTCAAATGGATAGGGATAAGGGCGGGTTTATTTGTGTTTCCTTCTTCTTAAATAGCCAAAAACAAG